TCAGTGTTCTCCAATTGCTTCACCTATTGTTGCTACAGTCCCTAACAATTCTTAAACATGGACAGAGTGTTGATCTGCTCGAGGGCAGGGAGGCTCTGCAGAGAGACCTGGACAGGCTGGAGCCATGGGCTGAGCCCAACTGGAGGAGTTTCCATAAGGCCAAATGCCGGGGGCTGCCCTTGGGCCACAACAACCCCCAGCAGCGCTACAGGCTTGGGGAGGAGTGGCTGGAGAGCTGCCAGTCAGAGAGGGACCTGGGGGTGTGATTGACAGCTGGCTGAACAGGAGCCAGCAGTGTGCCCAGGGGGCCAAGAAGGCCAATGGCATCCTGGCTTGTGTCAGCAATAGCGTGGCCAGCAGGGACAGGGAAGGGATCTGACCCCTGTACTGGGCACTGGTGAGGCCACCCTTCGATTCCTGTGTTCAGTTTTGGGCCCCTCACTACAAAAAGGACATTGAATGACTCGAGCGTGTCCAGAGAAGGGCAACGGAGCTGGTGCAGGGTCTGGAGCACAGGTCGTACGGGGAGCGGCTGAGGGAACTGGGGGTGTTTAGACTGGATATTAGGGAGCATTTCTTTACAGAACGGGTTGTTGGGCGTTGGAATGGGCTGCCCAGGGAGGTGGTGGAGTCCCCATCCCTGGAGGTGTTTAAGAGTCAGGTTGACACAGCGCTGAGGGATATGGTGTAGTTGGGAACTGTCAGTGTTAGGTTAATGGTTGGACTAGATGATCTTCAAGGTCTTTTCCAACCTAGATGATTCTGTGATTGAATGACTTTTAAACTCTGCATTTGAGAGCAGAGTTAAGGAAATTGTTTTAGAGCCATGTTAATTATAAATAACAGTAACACTGCATTTCTTCGGGCATGACACTGCCACCTGGCAATTTTCTACTTCTGATTTTGTTCTTGCTCCAAATTTAGACCGGTCATTTTAACTTCCTGATTTACACTTGCATAGGTAAAACATGAAGTATTTTCAGATAAAATTTGCAAGAAGTTCCATGATTTCAGTACTATTTTTCCCAGACAGGTTCCATGGGGGAAAAAAAAAAAGTTTCCTTGAATTCTGTAGTTTTTTTATTGGAGGTAGATCTTGTTTCTGTTCTTTATCTGTATAAATGCATTTGGGTAAACCCACTGTTGGCCCACAAATACAAGTATTTGTTTAGTTCACTGTTAGTGTCAAATGAAGCACCTCAGCTGCCCAAAAAACCGAAGAGAAGATAACCTTTAGAAAATCTCAGTTGCAGCCCCTACGACTTCCCTTAAGGGAAAGGTTTAAAAAGTTTTAATAAAAAGTCTTCAATTTTATTGTGGTGGTGTCAAATCAAGCCATGGATAGTAACTTTTAAAAATATCTAGTTTACATTGCTTGATGATGAGGCTTCAAAGCAAACATTTCAGGAAGTGAAACAGAAAAAATACTAGAAAAAGATCATTTAACACTGGTTTAACCAACAATAAAAGTGATTCATATGAAATAATCTAAAACCAGAAGTCTGATTGTTGTGGTTATTAAAAATGGACTTTGAAAAGACAAACAAATTCTGTATAGAGCCACCAAGCATGCTATATGTAACTAGGCATTGACAGATTTTCATCTTGTTGGCATTCATATTCACCAGCTGGATATTTGGTACAGGCAACATTTACAAGATCTTAACATTTTATTATGTTGAAGTGCTCTCATAAACACTTGCATCCTATGATTGATTAAACCAGGTAAGAACAGTAAAATATATACTTACACTGTTACATGTGTGAACCTCAGTATTCCATTTCAGAGCATGTTTCATAAAAAATGCAGGAGTGGAAAGGGGAGATTGAATTAGGCATGTCCATCTTCCAAGCAAGCGAAACTCAACATAAGTTTATGTCATTTTTCTCCTTGGAACTCTGGAAAGCTGCAGTGCCAGGAAGTGATGAAAATGAAGACAAATGTCCAAACCAAAAGCTGGTGAGTTCAGTGTTTCACTAGTGTGGTTCCAGACTTTGTATAGATCCCTGGCAGATTCAGCATAAATGAGGACAGACATTTTGGCCTTTATTGTAAGTCTGAGTCATATCCTGACCCTCCCAGAAACTATGCTGTTGTAGGAAACCAGTGGATGTCTATCTTCTCCTGAAATAAACTATATAGCAGGATTGGAAATGCCTTGAAATAAGAGCTGAGATGGTCCACAGTGTTTGGCATAAATTAATTCTGGAAATACCTGTACGATATGTAGCACTGTAGAGCTACTTGCCCAAGAAATCTCCACAAAAAAAAAAAAAAAAAAGATACTTGGATTTATTCTGGTTGGATATATAAATAAATTGTATTTACCACATAAATATTTAATTAACCAGAAGCTAGATATCATGGTGAATAGACAGGAGTCAGATATGCATAAGAATCTCTATGCTCAGCAATATTGTTTTACAGGTTGCTTAGGCAGGAGTCAAGAGCATTATAAATGTGGGCCTTTGTTTCTTCATTGTGGTAAATGCTTGAGTTATTTCAAATTAATCTAGAAATTATATGAAGATAGATTATTAAAACAAGTAACTGTTCATCTCTGGCCAACCAAACTTTCCTGAAGCAATAAATGCTTTCATGAAGACAAGATTTAGAGGGGGAACTCAGTAGCCTTCCAACACCTCTGAGAAAGCTATCAAGAAGATGGATCCAGGCTTTTGATGGTGTGGCTTATGAGAGGAAGAGAGATAATGGCAAAAAAGAAAAGCTCAGACTGGACATAAAGAAGAAATTTTTATGATGAGTACAGTCAAGCATTAGAACAGATTGCTTAGAAATGTTATGCAGTCTCTATCACTGGAGGTTTTCAAGACCAGACTGAACAAAGCCCTAAACAGCTTGGTTCAACCTCATAGCTGATGCTGTTTTGAGCAAGAGGTGGTATTAAAGACCTGCTAAGGTCCTTTACAACCTGCATTTTTCTATGAACCCTAAGGGTAACATTTGAAGAGTGGAGGCAGTTTTTGAAAAAAGTGTATGATCTACTTCTTCAGATGTACCGAATGAACAATTATTTCTGTCCACATATTATGAAAATTTCCAAAAAGAAGCAAGAAAGGCTTTATATTTATATATCTAAGGCTTTTTTATGTATACATTTATATATTTATATGTTTTTTTATTATTTTTGTCCAAAGCACTTTTTTCCAAGATCTTCTTACATATTTGGTATAATCTTATTCTCAGACCATTCTGCCAGTCAGGTATTACTTTGTTGACAGTGATTGAATTTCACATCAGTTTTACAAAATTTTAAAAAAGTGTGGCAAACTGAGGACAAATACTGAATATGTAACCATCAAGTAGTAACAGAGTCATACAGATTATACCGGGATAGCGCTGAGATCCTTCTCTGAACAGGTTACTGAAAGTTATTGGAAATGCTTCGGTGTCAAAAGATGTGAACTGTTGTACCAGTAATTCTCTTCTGGCCACCTTCAAATAAATTCACCATAACAAAGATTTTACTGAAAACTGAAAAAGGCAGCTGCTTCACCCAGCAATGGTTTGGAACCTCTGGTTCTTCTCCAGCTAGCTGGGTTGGATGGAGGCAGGATGGTAGCCCTGCTCTCCTCAGCGAAGCTGTATAAACTTTAATTCAGTGTATACTTAATACCATGTTTATATCTAACAGTGTAAGAAGAAGAAAAATAAAGACAGACAAATAAAGATTCTGGCAGAAGAAGGACATTTTAATATAATCTCCAGCAAAGTGAACATTCAAAAGGGGGAGGACCTGTGGATTTTCCCATCTCTGACCAAATCCTTGAACTCTTCCCAAAGCAACAGTAGATCTGACTTCTATCTCACCTTGTACAGCCTAAATTCTGCATAAAGTGTATCAATTTATGTGGCAGCTGTGCTGACTTTTGCAGAAAATGAAAATGCAGAAAAAAGTATAACTGTAATATTTCTTAATCGATTGCATCTTAGTTGTTAATTTGATAAACAAATATATTCTGTAGGTTTGAATATACCAGTTCACCATGTACTTCTGTATAATTATGAATTTGCCACAGAATTAAGGATCAACAACTTAAGGAAACATACATCCTTAAGAATGCTATGTGACTTCTGCTAGTATATTGCTGTATTTTCATGTGAACAACCCAAACCTTTCCAAATGAATAACTATAAGTGTATCACTAGCATGAAAAATGATGGCTTCATCTGGAAATATGTATATCTCAAAGAAACAGATGGTATTTTGCATTGCATTTTTTGTTTTGTTTTAGTCTGATGTGTAAAATAATTTGTTGCATAACCAGATATTATGCAATAAAGTAGTACCAAGTCAATAGTGAAAATGTATATAAGATATAACTGCATTTAAATTTTCACATCTCACTTGTGTTTTACAAGTATTTACCCTGTTTTACTTCAAGTCTTTTAAGTGTCATTGTTTCTTCTGAAACCTGTGTATTCTGGGAGGGTGTATGTTTTGCACAACATTTATTGTATTAAAATTAAAAAAAAACGGGAAATTTTGAATTCTAGAATGACTTTCTAATAAAAATTTATTTTCATATTAAATGCAATCTCTGTATTCTAATAATCTGATATGAAAACTGCTATTCCTTGGGGAAGAAAATAAAAAAACACCATAAAGTCTAAAATGAAATTTTTATATAATTTTGTAACCCAGATAACGACTATTTTTGCACAGACCTCTCTGGATGCCAGCTAGGGGTAATTAATAAAGCTTTATTCAAATTGATGTAAATGAAACTACCATCAGTAGTAAGAAGTGTTCCCCAGATTAAAGATACAGAAGAGCATTAATACATTAGATAATTTTAGCATTTAGAAAACACATAAAGAATTCTTAGTAAACAAACATATTTGGCAAACTCCCGATTGGTTGTTTTAGTTTTGCTTAATCTTAATGCAAGCTATAGATACTGAATGCAAATATTCAAATATCGTTCCCTGGAGAAATGGATTTTGCTGTCAAAACAAATAATTTCTATACCTTCACCAATTAAACCTACACATCTAAAGGACGTAGCAGTACCTGTTTCTAAATAGAAGATAAAGGGAAAGGATAAAGGTCTTTAACTGTTTCAAAAAGGAAATAGTGGACTGCAACAAGAATTTCATTTGTTTCCCAAGCCTGCAAGGAGATAAAGAATACATTAGTCTATATTTGAGGTTGTGTTGTCAGTTTTAAAACAAACTTCAGAAACACCAGGCAAAAGGAAGTAAAAAAAAAAAATCTTTTAAACCTTTTAAGACAAAAAAAAAAAAAATCATCTACTTCTCTGCATTTTAATTTCTCTACCTCGAGTGAACAAGGCAACAAAAGCATGTTTGCAGAGTAGCCCTTTATAAAAAGCTTTCCAGTGCAGTTATTGCAATGCTTTAATAATCCCAGCAAGCCTCTGTGAATGTACCAGCTTTAATTCCGCTCTGTTTAGAAAGCAAATGGTAACCACCTACAAACTCTGAGGTAATCTTCACTGAGACCTCTCATTCCCTCCCCTGCATTACTGTCACTAAGGATATTGAGCATTCCCATGCTTTCTGTTTATGAAACTTATTTTCCATTCCATTGGCTTCTGCACACATTCATACTTTTTTTTTTTTTTTTTTTCCCTTTTTTCCCCAGTTAATGTAAAGTGGGGCCCTCAGTTTGGGTTTCTAAGATACTGATATAACAGCTTGAAAGGGTCAGGATCAATAAAGGAAAGAGCAGTAAGTATGTTGACACTTTTTAGGCCTAGCAGACTTTGTTTTGGCTGAAACTGTGCTTTCTCATGTTGATTCCTATAGGGCACTCCGTGTGTAATAATCATGCAGGGAGTGAATATATTTACGTGCAAATGCAGAAATGGTTATTGAACATCTCAGTTGGAGAGCGTTTAGAAGGAGACAACAGAGCACTGGACTGAGACTCAGCACACTTAGCTTCTGTATGAAGATGTCTGACAGTTTAGTAACTCTAGTCAAATAATTTCTTTCTGATTTATTTTGTATATGTTTGAAATTTATCGAGGAAAAGTTCTGTGTGAGACTCATAACACAAAACTTTTTTCCCCCCAAGTATTCAGGGAGAATACATCCCTTCTTCTTCTACTCTTCCTCTCTGCTTAACTCTATTTTACCTCTGACTGACAGTCGTTCTTTATAAACAAAAATAACTCCCAATAGCCACCCCCAAAAAGAAAATCCTCCAGTTCTCTCTTGCTTTGGATGCAACTGTTATTGGAAACTCCATATAGCAAACGATACACAAACACTACAGCAGTTACTGCGCCTCTTGTCTCTTTTTAGTCTAGAAACAAGTCAGGTAAGTGTGATGTGCTCACAAGAAAAGGGAACACATAATGCTATCACAGATATGGGAATAGTGGAGTCTCAGCCCATTTTATTCTCCCAGTTAGAAATGCTACCACTGAACCTCATAAATGTCCTCAGGTTTCACACAAGCACAAAGTATCTCATTAGTAGCACTAATCCATAGATTTTACCCTCCTTCATCTTGTTAAATTAGAATTTACTAGCTTTTCTTGATCAGTGTCTCCATCCTTCAAATCCAGGAGGTTTTCCCTTTCCTCACAAGCCTTCCTTTACAAGGAAGTAAAGCCTTTTTTTTATCTGCCAAATCTCCAAATCCCTCTCAGAACTTGCTGCTGATCTGTCTTATCTATGACACATCAGGTCCCTACATATTTGTAATATACTGGTCATACTTATGTAGCCTCTTTACTTTTTGTTCCCCTGCCTATGCTGAGTGTTTGGTTGAGTCATCCAGCCCTGCACTGCCAGGATGACCAAATGCTGCTATTCCATTTCTTTTCAGCTACTTAGGGCAGCATGTAGCTCATCTTGTCTAACTGAACTTCAGAACAATTTCAAAAGTGTTGAATGTCTTTTGTTTTGCAAGAATGCCTTTTATAACTTGGGGTCTAATAGTTGTCAATGTTGATAATGCCTAGTCCCTTCTGAAACTGATGGATGATGCTAGGTAATAGCCTGTGGCTGAAAAACAATCAGGATGGAAAAGGCATTTGTGAGAGACATTCCTGATATGGTTTGATTTAGGAGATGATCGCAGGACAAGATGTGCTCTTGTTAAGTTAGATTAATGTACTTCACAGAATGAGTCAAATCTGGACCTTCTAATGGCCTGAAATGTTTGTTGTAAGACACTTATCTCTAACCTTCTTCTGGTGAGCTGCCTATAAATTCAACTTAATTTCATTTGCAGAAGAAACCTGACAACAGCTTTTCTAAATAAAGACAAAAGGGATCCCCAAAGCCTAAGTGTGTTAAGTGTTTGCTTCGGATAAGTGTAGTGAGGCTGTTTTTTCAGCCACTGTGTGTTTACCTGAGAGTTTTCTGATAAGCAGTGTGATACCAAAACCCCACTTCATGACAGTGCTAACACCATCTGCCAGTTGCTGATAGCTTGCTGAATAATGCTGTCATCAGCACTCAAGTGCTGATGGAAAGTTACTGCTTCAGTGACCACTACCACTTTCATCTTCTGTCTAATTGGTTACTGCCACTAAAAATTATTATTCAAAAACCCTCCAACACCTAAAATCATGGCCCATTTTTCTTTATCATGATTAATCACGTTTGGGCTACCTTGCAGTGCCACCGTTGTGTATTTATTGCTTTCTGCTTCCTGCTAATTTTACTTCTCTATCCTGTCGAGTGAACGTTATTGCCTACCTATGATTGCTCTCAATACCTTATTTGGTGACAAATACCCATAGAAAGTTTCACTAGACCTTGATATAGTGAAATACCTGTTAAGGGCATACTCTGCTAGACACAGTGGGCCAGTGTGCCTCATGAGGTAGGGTACAGTGCTATCATTTTTGTAATCTTTATTTGGTGTCGTTACAGCTAAATTTGCACCAGCTGAAAATCAGGCCAGATAGTTTAAAGAAAATGTATACAGAAAATTTTGGAAGTATTTTAATCTTCAATAAACCACATTCAAATGTATTTACTTAAGTGTAAAGAAATACTGTTCAGTCTGCACAGACATGCATGCCCCAGAAAGTTCACTGATGGTGGCTGAGAAAAACAGACAGCCCCCATAGTTTTACACTGCAGCATTGAACTACTAAAATAAATACAAGTGAAGAACCTCAAGTGTTTAAAACGGCTGAGAACATAATGTAATATAACTTAAGCCAGAATCGGTTCTTACTTGCGTCAGTATAAATGTGGACTAAAGCTATTTTGGCTTTAAAATACTGTACTAGAGGTTTTGGTTTGGCTTCCTATTTTTTGGCAGGATTTACCTTTCTTTTGCAGGATGTTCTGTCTTGCTTTAATGAAAGCTAGGATGTCAGCATCAGCCTGGCTGTCTCCAGTCAGAGGAATAGATGAACTTGGTGGGGTCCTGAAATAAGAAAGTATACTTGTGGACTCAACTGAGTAAGAAGGTTATTTTTCTATTCCATTATCTCCTCTCTTTTTCCAGCATGGAGGACTTTGTTCTCTGGATACTTTGTTACAGATCGCACAGTTCAGAGGAGAATCAAGCTCAGGATTTCTTAATGCTCTTATGTAGATTCTTAAGATTAGCCCATTATCTTTTTAGTTTGGTAGGACTATATGCTTATCAGCTATTAAACCTCTCACACAGGGTTAAAAATATTTTACTGCTGAGTCAAAGACTTACTGACAATTAGAAAAGCCTAATATAGTGAGTTTACCAAAGAAATGATGGATGTGACTATGCCAAGTGTTTGTCTGCCTCAGGAAAAAATGTTGCTATTTATTTGAACAGATCAATAGTATTTTTGCCTACTGTAAGGGAATGAAGTTTTCATACATACATAGAAGTAAACAATCACATGACATTCATGACATTTGCTGACAGGCACAACTCCTTTGTGATGCTGAGTCTCCAGTCCCAGCTGAGATCTTGTATCTATGCAGTTAAATGATTGACTTACCTCTTCTTTTGATAGCCCCTCTGGTGGTATAAAATGATCTAGTACAATGAGGCTATTCTAATCAGCTAAGAAAGTTAAGAATTTGGCCCTGTGTCTCTAGACTTGTTTAAAGATTAAGCACTAATGGTGAAATGAGAAATACAGGGATAAAAATTACAGTATGGAAGGAAAGTGGAACTGAAGGAGAAACCTTTCTTTTAACATATCCTACCTTTGTAATTACAGTTCTGCCTGACAGAAACAGAAGTCTGATATCCTTGTCTTTATGCAACTAAGTCCTCAGTTGCTGAATTAGTGGACCAAAATGGAAAAAAATATACATATGATTATGAACTTAATAAAATTACTCTTTTAATGTAATTTACAAGGTGATCTCAGAACACCAGTAAAGGACTTTTATTGATTTTAATTTGATTAGCAACAATATAAAAAAAAAAAAAAGACACAATATATTTGAGAAGGTACTGTCTAAATTCCATTTTAGTTTTTCTTTTTCTTCTGTTTTTCTTAAACACAAATGCAATTTATAACATTAGGTTTTGGGGATGAAATTTTCCATGTTTTTTTTGTTGTTCTAGAAATGGATTGTTTTGGAAAATGAAAGAAAAAACCCCTTGTGATTCCTTCTTACTAATGCAGAAGGAAAAATAGTAACTTAACCATATTTTCCTAGGGACCTTAATAGCCAGAACTGTTGAGCACAATAAGAATGTAACTTCTGAAACTATACTGACTTGGCATGATGTATGGGTGGGAGAAAAGAACATGGAAATGAGCACATTAGAAAAAAATAGAGAAGCTGTCAAAAAAAAAAAAAGTAGTTTCTGTTAACTTGCTAAGCTAATTTTCACAAAGCAGCACCTCTTCTGAGAAAACATGACATGTAACCTTTGCCAAGTCTGACACGCCTGGGCTGCTGGTGTCATTTTATTTTACTAGAATAATTTCTAGGAAAGAGATTCAAAATATTTTAAGGACAAAATCACAAGAAAGAAAAAATCTCTGTGTAGATCCTGCATTCTGCAACACTTACGTACTCTGATCTCTCTTCCTTCCAACTGTTTTTATTTACTCTTTCAGAGTCCCTTTCTCTTGCTGAGAAGACACAGTCATGAAGACTCATAAGCTCATGGGGAAAAAGTCTCAGGCCAAAAAGGAAACCACCTCTTCAATGATGATAATGCAGCTAGTTGGTGTAAAGCTATGAGACAGCTTTGGTGTCATTTTGGAAGTGGGAGGAAAATCTGCAATTTCAGTTTTATTTTTGTTTTTCAGGGAGACTGTTGTTAAAGACTGATGGAGGGTTATCTGTATTAGTAGTCTACTTTTTCCTATGAGCTGTCCAGGTACAATTCTTACCTTGTTTTTAAACTAGGGTTACTCGAAGTGGTTGAATTGTTTTTCCCAGCTGAATCTTCATTAGGGATGACTCTTGTGGTCTCTGAAAAACTGGAATGGGAGCAGAAATGAAGGAAGGAATATAGCCCTTGTGGAGGAAATATTAATACATGCTAAATAACTACAAAGAAGCTGTTTTTCAATACTTTTTTTTTTAATCTATATAAAGCAGTTGTTTACTGGTACAGGATTTTCATTTGAATCCATGTGATGATTAGGATTATGTAGAGAATGTGGCTATGAAAGAATGACAAATAAACTCATAAAGATTATACTTTTAGTATTTGCCTTCTAAGCAGGTCTTGTAAAGCACTTTGATGTATCTGATGTACAGTTTGTAATAGTATATTTAATTCCCAAACTGACTAGTATCCAAGTGAGGCCTTAGCTCATTTTCCATTCTTTCTTTAGTCAGGCAAAATTATTACTGAAATCAGTGAGAGACTGGATAAAAACTCATTGAGGTCTTTGGGATGTGGCATGTTGATGATAGCCAAATATATTGCAAACAGCTGTTGTGCATTCCTGTCCCTGCAGATATCGCTATCAAGGATCCTCTCCACTAGGAAGAAAGACTTTTGCCATGGGATGTCTAGGCACCATCTCCTTTCTCCGGGGATTGGGTATGTTGCCAGATCTGATGCCAATCTTGAGTGGAAATACTGAATTAGTCAGTTTTAGGACTTTTCCAGTAGATGGCAGGATTGGCAAATTCTTGCTTTTCTAACTCTGCAGTAGTTTGTTCATCGTTGGCTGATGAATTGATATTTCTGGCAGAGAACTTGAAAAAGGAAAGAAATTTATTACTAACATTTTACTGGTTTACACTGTGCCAGGTTCAGTTTTGCAGAAGATATTGTGCCCAAGAGTATAAGTCATTTTCAAATGAAGAGCTCCAGGTTTACTGAATGTTTCTCTTTAACTCCTCGAGTCCCATACCATTTGCACCTGGCTAAATGGATTAAAATAACCTCTGGACCCAGCCTAATTCAACTAAAGCGATATCATATTTAATGTTAATAATATTCCATACTTTATTATGCCTACATATTACAAGAGCTATAAAGGATGTGTGATGTTATTACCTACAATGTGGTTTAACAATATCTGGGAACTTCACATCATCGTTCTGCTTTAGGATTTCCTGAACATTTTTTCCATTGATTTGGCAGTTCTTAAAAACTAAGTGAATTAGGGTCTTAAATTCAACTTTCTAAAAGGAGTTGGCATCTGTGCCCTGAGATACTGAGGCATCCAAGTCATACAACCATGGTTTAATAAATCATTACATATCAACTGAACCATAGCAGCCATCCATGACTCTTTTCCTAGCCTGCAACAAATTTAAGGTAATGTGACTTAATGTGATCCTCTTTAATTGATTTCATTGAAATAAGCTCCTTTGTTTTTTATTTGTCATGAACAGAATGTATAATTTTATAAATGCTGTGAGTCAACTGAAGTAATTTATTTTTAAGCTGCAGTACTTTATATATTTGAACTAATTTTTTTCCACTGAATATAAATGAAAATCATTCTCCAAAATTGTTAAATCCCCATTTTAAAGGGGACATATATGCAGATCCATTAAAAAAAACAATAGACACTACAGGTGTAACAGGTTTTGACCTCTAGGGATCTCACTTCCAAGTGGATTCCTGGACCCAAGACAGTATGTTAAAACTTGCCTTAGAGTGCTCTGGAAGAACTGGGCACCTGAGGAAAGTGATATTAAAAAAGACCCTTAGACTGAATGAGGTGATGCCCAGAACCAGAAGTTAACATTAATGTGTTCAGATATGCACCTTAAATTTCTACCCTCTTCCTGTCTGGTTACAGCCAGACATTTTTGTCTGTGGGATAGAAATTCTTTGCCTGCAAGTTAAGGAAAATTATAAGGAAGGTTATAACTATTTTTGTAATGACTCAAAGTTCTGCTTCCATATAAGAGGTTAACAATTAGAGTACTAATCTAACAAATGAGTCCCTCAGCTTGGCAGGACTCAAATGTTTTACACATCCCAGAGATTTTTCTAATCCCTTGGCTAGAGGGATGGCCTGTATGGTGATAATTTGCATCTTTCATACTGAAGGTCAGATAATGTTTCCATATTATTCCAAAATATGTTGAATCATAAGGGGACAAAAAAGTGTAATTTTACTGTGCAGTAGTTTGTATGCTCAGAGGCAACTTGCTCCTATTCTGTTCTTAGAAGCCAGGACTGTTCTCCGCTGTTCCAGTGATAAGAAAGGGTGAGAAATTGCTAGTACTGCTCTAAATTTAATGGAAAGACATTATGACAGTATGGGGTGGGGGTAACAAGCCCCCTCTCTGTGTGTTAAGCCTGAAGGACTGGACATCTCAGGATTCTTGACAAAGACAGATAAAACCACAGCTGACCTGATTTAGTATGATGATAGTCCTTCTTCAAGCAAGAGATCTCTAGAGGTGCCTTCCAACCAACATTTCTGTAATGTGTAAATAGGCACTCCTGGATCACAATTTTGGATTTGGATGGGCATACGAGGTGCAGAAGTCCTGTCTCTTTGTCTGTCTCCTAAACTCTAACATTATTCAGGTTCTTCTGACAATGTATAATTCCCATTTTCCTTCTGAATCTATCTGATTTTTCCTTGAGCTAAATTTATGAAGTCTCAAAGCACCATTTCCTGATAGCTTCAGTAAAACTGCTGCTTTTTCTGGAAATTAAAGATAGTCTGTTAACGTCATATGTCTCAGTTTCTTTTTTTAATCTAGTATTCAAAATTTCAAGTTACCAGTGGGTAACTTGCATTTTTGGGTGGGTCATCTGTTGCGGGTATATGTCTCAGTCAGGCATGGGGCAGCAGCTAGGGAGATGTATGGAGTGTTGTGACAGTGTCTCCCTTGCTGCAGGAACCCAAGGTCCAGAGACAACTGTCCCATGGACTGACCAGTTTCATCAAGCACATAGGTAGAGCAGCTGGAAAGATGATGGATGTCATGGTATGATGCTTGATTTTCCAGCTGAAAAAAAGTGGAAAATCAGATAGATTAAAAGGGAAAGTAAAATTTGAAGGTGTGCAACCTCTGCAATGTTAAAAAACCTCAGCTGCAGTTCTCCAGTCATGTGAGCCTTGGATGTGAGGGGAACATATGTTCTGTGTAAAGGCAGGCAAGATTCAAGCTGCTTGAAATCTGAGTGTTTTAGTATTTGGTTACAAAATCAAATTTGGCCTAACTTGTAAATTCATAGATAAATTGTTCAAGTTAAATTGTTACCAGCAGAATGTTAAAACCCTTGAAATGTCATTAATCAGCAATGTTATTCCCAGATTATATTTTGTCATCATGTAACACTGTGGAAAATTGGCAGGAATGAAAAATTATCACAGAAATTGCTGCAAAATATGTAAACATTTCCCTTGTTTTACATAGCATTAATATAATTATAGCATTAATATAATTTTGCAATCCAGGACAATAATTGTTAAAAAATTTGAAGCTCAAAGTCATTGGAGAACATGAAGAGTTATCTGAAAATATCTCCAAGGGAGTCTAAAGTGACAGGAAGATTTTGAAGAAGAAGATGGAAAGCCAAGGAGTCTGAGATTGAACATAGCGTGGGGCTTGCTGGAATAGGGCAAATGAGATTTAGAAAAGGGGACAAGTGAAGTTAAGAAAGATCTGACTGAATTAAAAAGGAATGCATTCCTTCTGAGAGAAGGAAAAAAATCCAAAATTTTTTAGAAGATTTGAATAACTATCCAACATTTGTTTGATTCAAGGGGAATACAAGAACAGTTCAACATTAGTGAAATTAAATATTCAGTGAGAGAAGTAACTTGAACAGACATGTATCTGCTAAATTTCTTAAATGAAAGATGATGTTGGAGAAGACTATATGAGGATGAATAAAGCGCTGTGCTTGAATTCTGAAGTGGAGCAGACATAAGTGCTGAGCCCAACATGCATTTTAAGACTTCTTGCAGACTTGACAGAAACCCATTAAGAGACATAAACATACATGCAGTACGAGTTGCAGTTAGCACCACAGCTTTATGGTAGAGACAGTATGGACAAACAGAGAATACTTTTTTAAAGTTTGAGGGATTTTTTTAGGTATTCCTTTTGAATAAAATAAGTTCTTGACTATTATTCTAAGTTGCTCTTCCTCTCTTTCTGTACTGTGACTATGGGATTGCTGATCAGACCTTTTTCTGTCTGAAATATAGAGATAGGTCATTCTTTCTCCACTTTGCACAGTTGTTCTTCATTTTAAGTAATATTTTCAGATCACATGAGATTTAATATTTCTGCTGCCTTCATATGAAGGATATGCAAAGATAAATATAGTCTGGAAACCTTCTGAATCTACTCAACAGGTTAATGAGCATGAGTCTGTAAGCTTCTACAATATACAAACTACTGGTTTCAGCTATTTTAAGCATATCAGATTTGGTAATGTGATTAACTTGTTCAAGAATTTACCTTTCTTATGCAGAAATGTTTTTCTCATGACAAACCCACTGATAACACTTATGTCACCCTTTTCCTCACTCCAGCTCTGTGGTCACTGAAGTCAATATTTTGCTTCTTACTCTAGTGGGAGTTGGATCAAGCCAATGGCTTTCAACCCTTATTGACTAAGGCAGAAATGTTCACTGTTCAATTCTTTCATTAACACAGACTCATTTTGACGCTTAACAATTCAGCCTTTTTTTTTTTTTTTTTTTTTTTCAATTGAAAAATAGATGTTTGGCTATGAATCAAGATACAATATGTGTGTATCCTTCTTAAGCCTCAAAAGGATTACCAGCTTCTCTTCCCTGTTATTTTAATTATAAATTGATTTAACATAAAATAAAATTAGAGGCTATCATATTCCAATCCCAAGGCTTAATTTACTCTGGTCACATGACTGTGTCAAACAATAATCATACATGTGCACTGGAAGGTGATCAAAGAATTTTGTTCAAACACATTTATAAATCTCAGGAAATATTACAGAATATGCCTATATCCTTTATATGCTGAGATAGAGAATTTATTTCTTCTAATCCTGAAGATTGTATTTATATCCATTCACACTCAGGAGTTTGTCTGAATGGTTTTACTGCGTACCTTGTCAAAAGCAGTCTTAGATTTCTGACATGCAGCCCAATAAGTTTTAGATCTTTTATCTACACACCTGTGAACTGAATTCCATCTTGGAAATAGGTTTTATTTACACCACATTATATCACATATAATTTATGTCAGTTTCTGCTTTTGTGACAAGTTATTCTGCTGGGTGAAGACAGCAATATAATTTCAGGGAAAGAGATTGTTGATTTCTAAGTGAGTTAGAAACAAAAAGCCATTTGTATCTTGGGACTACGTAACCAAAAGGAACAATTTTACCCTGGGCTCATCCTACACAATCATGGAAACTGGTAAATGAAGTTCTTGTGTCAACTGGGGTCAAGGAAATCCTTGGGAAATAAATGTTCTACTGTTATATTCTTAAAGCCCGTGAAATTGGAAACTTTTACTCTAAAATGTTATTGCCTCAAGTAGGGGGAAAAGTAAATTTCCATGCACAGTGGGATGTTAAGCCTGCAGCTCCTGCCTCACAAAAAGCAGCAATAGTGTTCCTACTTCCATATACATCACACTGGAAATGTACCTGTGTAAAATATGTTTAAACAGCCTAATATAAAGTGGTTGGGAAAACAAAACTATATTAATCCCGACTCCCTTTACAATTTAGGTTCAAGAAGATGAATGTTCTGGGTCTGTGATATGTACGCTAGGATCATCCAGTCAATCACAGTCAACATGTCTATTACTTAGACACACAGAAACTGTTCATTACAACGAACATGTGATTTTTTGCAAGAGACCACGTGGGAGAGTACAGGTCTCTGAAGTAGCTTGGCAGCTGAAAGCAACCAGGCACCTTTCCCTGTTCTATTTAAAATGCTAGACACAATTTTCTGAGACCCGTACTCCAGTAATAAGCACAAATGGTAAAGGCATGCAAAATAAAAGTTTAAAAGAAAATTATAAAGAAACCAGTCATGCAATTTTGTTTCTGAGCTAGGGTGGAGGGAGGAGAAATCACCACTCCTGGAGACCAGTCTCCCATTGCAGTGGAAAGTGCCTGGGTATTATCATATGTTCTTTTTAATTCTAGCTTGGATTGCAAAGGGTATCACTCTCCTGAGCACTGCATCAGTACACCAACAGGAAATTGTTGTTCCCAAGAACAACAGGGCAGAGAGGTTGTGCAAGAGGTCCTTGGTTCAATTCAGTACAAAGCTAGTGACAGTCACAGACTGTCTGAGCCAATTTGGCTGACTTTGTGCTAAGCTAGACCAAAAATGCTCTCATGTTCTGTTTCATCAGCTTTTCTGTGGGACAAGTAACCTTCAACCTAAAACTAGAAATGAACAGCTCAAAATAGGCCTAAATCCTGCCAGCCATTTGCAAAGGTAATAGTGCCTAAGTCTTGAGAGAACACAGAATAAAAATTGAAGCAACATAGAGAAGACTAGAATCGGTTTTCATAAGTTTGAGACATCTGAATATGCCTTCTTAAACAACTTTCGAGGATTATGTGTTTCATTCTGTCTACTGGATATGGAACATTTACTATAAATACACAACAGTTTACAATAAAAATTAGAATATATTTTACAGTTTTAAGAAACTGCAGTGTTCATTATTTAATGGTATGTAAGAAGTGTTGTGTTTGCTGCAAAGCAGGAAACATCATTTATGTAGAATATTGTTATAAAATTGTAGGTAAAGCCACTCACCAGAGAAAGATTAACTGTATAATGAGAAGTATGGAGAGAGCAGGAGAAAAGGAGAGCAAGAGAGAGGTGGGGAGGAAGAGAGAAGGGGAGACAACAGCTCCATTTATTGTCAATTAATACAGGAACCTGCACGTTCAGTTATGTGTTTTCCTGTACTCTGCTTGAAGACTATGAAAGATCTATTACTGCAAATTTAAATTAGAGGGTTTGAAATCAGAAGTGACTGATGATGAAACAATGAAGATGATTACATTTTCCTACTGTAGAGGATGCACCAGTGTTTTACAATATCAAATGCAACTTCATTGTGGAATACACTGCATAAATGTAACACCAGGACATTTTTCAACATATATATTAAAATGTTTTTTAATCTTTTTTTTTTGATTTGCAGCCCCTGGAATACAATTCAAAGGAGATAGTCTCCTCATACAGCAAAACTGACTGATAACAGGCTTGCTTTTCTTAGCTACCTGTCATGGGGTCCCTAATGACAGGTTTCCAAGATCCCAGGACCAACAAGTCAGAAGAAATGAATTACAATAAGCTACCTTCAATGTGATTGCAAATTAACTGAATGATAAAAATTCATTTTCTACACAGTCATTTCTCTTGTAACTGGAAATGCAGTGTCTGGGTGTGATATTTTCAGAAGCATTCTGGTGAACTTCTACTAAAAATGCATTTTCTTACAAGTAAGGAAGGAAGACAAAAATGACCAGTTTACCTGTTGGTTGATAGATGTTGCACAGATTTGATAAACTGGGGATAAACAGTCATGGTATTTGTTGAGCTAACCATCAATGGCTTTTCCTGCTGGGTTTAGATTGAAAAACAAAATTATATAGGATAGGATTTTTTTAGAATGCTTAATATTGGCCTACAGGCCTCAGCAATAACAAGGTAGGCAATGACTCATTCAGAAAACAGATTCTGAATCACATGATATTTTCTTCACTTGGACAAACACTTCTGAACAAAAGGAAAAGTGTTTAGGATTGGTTCAAGTATTTTTAAGCTCAAGTTACAGGTTTTAATACGTAACAGCATGTGTTCACCGATTTCAGTTTCTTAGGGAGCTCAGATGTATAGATAGGTCAAGATCCAAGAAATCAATCCCAATTATTTTTTCCAGTTTTCTAATCTTCTACTGATGAATTATGAGAGGCTGAATCCTGGACCTCTCCTGTTAAGGGACAGAGAAAAATGTGCTCCAGTGGATTCAAGAATATTACTTGCATTGCTTTGAAAAACCTAAATATTTAGACAGGAGGATGACTAAAACATTATCCTCTTTGCAACTAATGTGGTTAGGGATTCTAACCAGAAAAGTATTTTGCAATTATAACTTGAAGTTAAGCTTGTTAGGTGGCAACTATAGGGATAACTAAGTTCCTTGTGTTAAGTTCCATATTTACTTCAGGATGTTTTCTTAAAAACACAGTTTAAGTTTATACTGATGAGAATTAAACAAAATACTCGCTAAAAACTTATTTATAACAACTTTTCCTCAAGGAGTAAATCTTTTCTTCCAGTTAATAATAAATTATATGGAATGGATTGCACTCAGCACTCTTTTTCATTAGGCTGATGTGCATTTCAGGACAGTGCTTTGCTGTGAAATGCCATGTCACTGCTTGGAAGACATTAAAAAAGTGTTGGGGAGCATAAAAAAGCTATGCTGTTGTTTCAGTTGATCCCCCTCCGGACCCTCTTGTATCTCCTGTTTTTGTGAAACTGTAGCTTTCACACTGACTGTGTTATGAACTTCTAATACACTGTTTAAAATGACATCTCTTTAGTTCATTTTTACACAGGTTATTAAATTGGAGCACTCTATTTCTCCAGGGTTCTTAAAGAGACAGTGATGGCAGTGGTAGGCCTCAGCTGGAGACTGAGGGGACACATGCTCTGTGCTGGGAGTTGCTGACCCTCTGGAAGCTTAGGAAAGCTGAAAGGTTACTGGAGTCTTTACAAACAAAGGAAGGTACAACCCAATTACATGTGCTGGGATTTGTCTACATTGCAGCTATGACTGCCATCTTCTTCATATGGAAAATTTGCACCAGAAGGGACTCCTCCTGTGCACTGGTATGGACATACCCCAGGGCTCATTGGTAAAAACACTGTAGGAAAGTTTTTAAGAAACAATATTTTACTTTGAGAGAGGAATTTGTATGTTGTAAATGAAGGCCAAGTGTAAATAAGGCCGAATGCCGGGGTCTGCACTTAGGCCACAACAACCCCCAGCAGCGCTACAGGCTTGGGGAGGAGTGGCTGGAGAGCTGCCAGTCAGAGAGGGACCTGGGGGTGTGATTGACAGCCGGCTGAACAGGAGCCAGCAGTGTGCCCAGGGGGCCAAGAAGGCCAATGGCATCCTGGCTTGTGTCAGCAATAGCGTGGCCAGCAGGGACAGGGAAGGGATCTGACCCCTGTACTCGGCACTGGTGAGGCCGCCCCTCGATTCCTGTGTTCAGTTTTGGGCCCCTCACTACAAAAAGGACATTGAATGACTCGAGCGTGTCCAGAGAAGGGCAACGGAGCTGGTGCAGGGTCTGGAGCACAGGTCGTACGGGGAGCGGCTGAGGGAACTGGGGGTGTTTAGTCTGGAGAAGAGGAGGCTGAGGGGAGACCTCATCGCCCTCTACAGCTCCCTGAAAGGAGGTTGCAGAGAACTGGGGATGAGTCTCTTTAACCAAGTAACAAGTGACAGGACAAGAGGGAATGGCCTCAAGTTGTGCCAGGGAAGGGTTAGACTAGATATTAGGAAGCATTTCTTTACAGAACGGGTTGTTGGGCTTTGGAATGGGCTGCCCAGGGAGGTGGTGGAGTCCCCATCCCTGGAGGTGTTCAAGAGTAGGGTCAACATAGCACCGAGGGATATGGTGTAGTTGGGAACTGTCAGTGTTAGGTTAATGGTTGGACTGGATGATCTTCAAGGTCTTTTCCAACCTAGATGAATCTGTGATTCTTGATTCTAATACATATGTCATAAACCTGATGAGATCATAGTTTTGCTAGCAGTAAAAAAGATTATTTTTTCCAAACTTCTCTGTTTTATGATCCTTCAGAGTTTTCAGCGTTTTGGGATCATTCTTGACTTTCAATCAAGTTGAATGAGGGAATGTCAAAACAGAAAATAGACCAAAAAGCAAGGGGTTTGCTTTGTTTCTGTTAACTTCATACAAGCATAATTCACATTAGTTTTGTGTGATTTATGTTGGCATAAGCACAGGTGAATCAGGTCCCAAATCCCATCCTTCATACTCCTTTCCATCTAGTCAATTCACTCTTTCTTTAAGAAATGATTGACGTTACATTTCATGTAATTTCATGATGTTACATTTACATGAAAATGGAAGAATTATGAAGTAATTTCATACCTGTAGATTTATTGCCTCTTCAGACCACCAGATTTCAAAGTCTTTTTGCAGTTTCACCATGACTTTTTCCATAAGAAGCTGCAGGTGCTCAATCTCTACCTTTAGCTCTTTCAAGCGATTGAACATTGTTTTATAACTAATATGAGATGGAGAAAGCGTATTACAGATCTTCCAGCACATATCTGAAAAAAGCTTTATACTATCTAGAACAGTTACAGATTTAAACTACTAAAGGATATATAACAATCAGAGATGCAGGGAGCAGAGACAGAGTGGTGGTAGCAAGAGACATCTTATAGTTTATAAGAGCTTCACTGAACGATAAGTACAAGAAACTTATCCCACAAAGCTTTTATTTCACTAAAGAGATCCGTGAAATTCAATGGATCAATATTGATTAACAATTAAATTGCAGGTTCAATCAAATATGTCAATTATTTATTTTGATTTCTCAGCACGTTACCCTTAATAAACAACTAGTTGCCAGAGCGGGGATTCAGATAGGAGCTGAGACTGCTTCCCCTTTCAGATGGAAGCTTCATTAAGGAGGGCTCTTGTCTAACATATAGCTGAAGATTTATCAGTAGTATGAAATAGCCAGAAGTTTCCTCACAGATTGTACATAACATAAGTGCTAGCAAATTACTTAGAACTGATATCCTTGCATCTATTTTCTTTTATCCTCCTGGCTAAAGCAACATTAGAGCAAGGATTGGTTAACTAATACATATTCTGCATATTATTTACACTTAGTCAATCCTGCACACCTTAAAGGTTTTCCTTAGGTCAAGGAAGGCAGGACATTTCTGAATCTACCAAAAAGGTTCACAATACATTTGGATTCAAACAAGTTTCTAACACTAATGCTTAGGGAAGACATTAAGCATTTTAATTTAATTTTAGCCATTAGCCCAAACATAATTTTTTTCTCTCTCATGAACTGTGGCATCTTACAGACAAACCAACAGCATCTACACATATTTAAAAACTATTAGTGAACAACAAAGCTGACATTTTAAAAATGTCAGAGAAAACCCTGAGGGTAGCTGGGTGTGCAGAATTGTAATCGGAATATACTATCAGTATAATTTATCTTCTGAAGGATGGCAGAAGTTTGAGGCAGAAGTAATACCTTTTTTTTTCTTCTTCAATTTGTGTTCGAAGTTTCTCTTCTACTGGATCAAATGTATTTAGCTCTTCAGAAGGACTGGAAACAGCTATAGAAGAAATGACCAGAGGTAAGCAATGACCAGAAGATGTCAAAAGAAGCAACTTTTAATTAAAATAAAAACTATTTTTAAAGAGATAGGTAATGAAATGGGGGTCATTAACTGTTTCTCTCCTCTGGAAATGCTTCTTCAAATTCCTTATTCAGGCCTTAGTATAAGAGACAGTCAATAACTAGTGTTTTGAATTAAGGTGCTTTTAATTTTTTTTTTTTTTTCAGTAAAGACTGGAATATTCATTTTAGATATGAATAAAAGTGAGTTTTAAAAGTTAATCTTTGTCATAAACCCTACTAGATGCATTCAACCTGCCAGTTTTGGCTATAAATTCAAGACCAGGACAGCAAAGTTGTTGTGAAAAGAAGATACACCATGCTGATGCCTGGAAATAGAGTAACTGAAAGAAGAGTAAAAGACAAACCCTGAAGGAGAAATTAACTTTGGCAAGCAATAAATTCAGACAATTATTATAAATAGGGAAAATGTCCTGAAACTATGTGAGAATTTTTTTGAGGTAAAGAACTGAGGAAATACATTGAGTAAACTAAGTTAACCTAAGAAAGCAGTTTAGGACTTCCCTATCCTATAGCAGAGCTAGTTAGCATGCAACGCACAATATGCTTATTCTGAGATGGCAAAACAGTCTTTCCATCATGGGTTATATATGCAGCAGTGAAAGGAAATGTAAAGTTGCCTACTAGTATAACAACCGTTTATTTCCAGGATGAATGAGAACAGTTTAAGGTTCCAAGAAAACATGTTTAACCTTTCGACTGGAGGAAAATGAAAGAAAAGATTTGCTGTACAATGCATGCAAGTTTCCATTCTATTATTTCTGCCAAGAAAATAAACTCTACATCAACCTGTTACGAGGCCTGAGGAGTGTACCCTCTCTTCAAGGGGAGGAATTCTGTCTGGAACAAGAGGGCAGTAATGACCCCTTTCCCCCTGTCAGCATGCCAGCTGAAACCATTAATCTTTTGTTGCAGCACCCTGTAGCTTAATACAGATGAAGTTGAAAAGCATTTTATTTCATGTAGATTACTTAGGTCAAGTATGTTAATACAGGAGACCAAGGTAGAAAAAAACAATGCACAATTCTTATTTCATACATCAAAAGGCTTTATTGGATGTGCAGATTACAAAAGAAGGATAGGGGTAGACATTTGTGGTGGAGAAGGTATCCTCAAAAGATTAAAAAATAACCTGTTTGGAATGTTAAAGGGAATATGCAAGCTAGGAGGTACAAACATCATGGCAGAGCAGATGCTACAACAGTGGCATTGTATAACAAGTTATACCTGAACACAATGGATAATAAGAAGGACATCATGATCATGCCAGAACCTTTAAGGAAAGCAGTAAACCTTTCAATGATTACAGGGGATCGGGATTTCCTGATTTGTCAGACTTCATCCTCAGGAGAAGGCATAATGTGGGAAATTGCAAAGCTACACAGGGAACTCTGGGGAGACACTCACTGCACAGCTCCTGAGGCTTCACGCTTGTTCTGACCTTCATGAATACACAGCATCCAGGCTTGGAAGAAACGTGCTTTTCTGGAATAAACTGAAACTATTTAGGGAGTTACTGCCTCCCAACCAAGCCATGCCCACAGATCATGTGAGCATCCTTACTCTGTTTCCATACAAAGCCAGTCAGATTTAGCTTGGGCAGTCTTCAGCAGTGGTTAAAGGGGATTCTTCCTGAGCAGACTGAAGTGCATTTGACCTATCTGCACAATCTGTTATGGTCTCTGGGTTCAGGAAGTAGCAGCTCTAGCTCCTTATAATAAAGGGAAATAATATAGAGTGGAAGACAGCAACATCTTAAAATGTTAATGATGTTTTTGAAGTGAGGACTTCCCTACATGAAAACATCACCAAACTCTGCTAGTCATTACAGAGTGATGCAAGGCCACAACATTGCAGCTGTCCTTCCCTGATTGCTGGTACTTGGAAAAATATTTTTGCACTAGCTCTGAAAGGGCTGCCAAACTTCTGTAGAATTTTATCACTTATGTAGAAAAAAAACACCAAAAAAATGGTTTTCTGCTTCTGATTACATGCTGTAGAAGATATTATTTGGTTGCGAGTTACCTTCAGAAATAATAATACTTTTATATGAGACAAGTACCTCTATCATACAGAGGCCACAGCATCCTCAGTCCTGAATAGAGCTACACCCGTTATCTCTAGCAATATGCTGGTGATGAAAGTAAGAAACACAGCTGTGGTAAGGTGAAAAGCACAGTTTCATATATGTACAGGATGGAAGGAGATGAGTACACTGCATGCTCGTGGGGCTCCAGCAGCAAGAACAGCATTGGATATTTCATCAAGTAAGTGGTTAAAACTTAAAAATCCATCACTGTTCCAGTCACAAAAGTGGAAGAGATCTGATCACTGTGTCGGGTGAAGTCCAGTGGTAAGTCAAATCTGGGACATGACTACTTGGTCACTGCTTTGTAAGTTCTCCAGTGTCTTTTCCCATGTTGCTGCAGTCTCCATTTCAGCTTTTTGTCAGGCCTGCTCATTGCAACAATGTGCTTGTGAATTGAGTATCATACTCTAAAGACTAGACCTTTTTGAATCTGTCTACCGTAATATATATACAGATGGGCATATGGATCTTTCCTGATGTTCCAGGCAAAAGAGATCTGTGGTCTGGTGGAATGTATTTCAACCCTTCTGTTTGCTTCTGCTTCTGCCTTCTCATTCCCCGCTACTTCTTGTCTCCCCTCTCCCCTTCACCTTTCCTGAATCCTGCAGTGGCCTCTTTCTGCCCCTGGGCTCCTGCTGCTGCCTGACATCCCTCTCCTCCGATCAGCACAGGCAATTTCAGCTACAGCTGAAGCTAGGAAGCTAAGGCAGAGGTTACTGGCTCATTGTAACTCATGTCTAATGTTAGTATTCTTCAGTATGCAGGTGCAGTTATTTTAAAATAACATGAGAGGGGCAACTGAGTGAATATACAGTAAAATATAGACAACATAATATTAACTCACAAATTTAAGATAGATACCTAAGAAGAAATACTTTCTTTTCACTACAGGTTTTTATTCCTCTAAAAAGTATCCTTTTATAGTATATATCTGCCTGCACATACAGAAACAGAAATTAATTAAAATATCAAATAATTTTATCTATGTATTAACCAGATATATACAAAGTGCATGTAAGTTATGAAAACCTGAAAATTCAGAAGGCCAACCTTTGTCCATACACATTAAAAAAATTTGCAATACATTAAGAAGTGCAGAGGTCCTACTGCTGAAATATTAACTATCAGATATCATTTCTGCAGCTGCACAGAACAACACAAAGAGGTATCTGCTTTGTTCATTTATGGTTGACTTTTAATTAATTGATTGACAGTATGTCATATGAAACTTCATTGTACAGTCTAGGTCTATGTTTTAAGTGCATCAACTGAGATGAGCCATTCAGCTGATGTGCAATATCACGTGCGCTTCTAGTGGCCCAGTGACCTCCTGGGAAACAGATGCAGTTGGTGCAATTTGATCCTGGATAATGCAGACCCAGGTTTCGGGGTTGCAGGGGAGCTATGACATGCATGTTTAGGAAAACATTGCCTCTGTATATACTAGGGGGTTTCTGTTGGCATATCTCCATCCAATTCCATACGACAGAGTTATTTTAGCATAAGTCAGCAATGTACTCATAAGGAGTATTAGTTCCTGTACATTAGTGCAATTGTACATACTGCTGAGTGGCAAAACTTATGAATACTATGTTGTGAAGTCTTTTGTTAAGAGTACTGAGTCACACGATGTAAAGAAGAGATTTTGACAGTGCTGCACTGGATAGCGAAATAGCTACCAACTTTTATATTTATCTTGAGAGTAGTTGTTTTTGTTTCATCTTCAGATACAACCCGCTTGATAAAGTGAGGCACAGGACACAATTGATACCAGCTGCCTGCTTAGAGAGGAAGGTGAGCTCTGCATGAGTTGACACTCAGCTCATATCATAAAGATTTGTGTTTTTTCATATCATAAAGATTTTTTTTTCATAAAGATTGTAAGAGGCATTTTTAGATATAATGATTTTATTCTAATGAAAGGGACAATTTTGGAGCACAGGAAGCGGTAAATTTTACACCACTTTCCACATCACCACATCACACAGTACCAGAAACAAATGATAGCACCTGTTTACTAGATCACTACTTTAAAGCAGTATGGCAAGCATGAATGAAAAACACTATTTCTAGCATGAGATACCAAAGGTTATCACCATAGTTTACTGCAAGCTGGCAACAACTTGAAATACTCTGGCAGATTCTTGTCTACAGTCAGAAATTTTGCGAGAAACTCTCTGTGACCCTAAACTTTATACTCTCTGGGGTGCTCATATATTTCTTGACCTGAGTGTATCCTAGAAGTCAGACTCCTAGGGATTTATTGTCTTGTGCCTCAAATAACAGTGTGCCCTGCCCTCCAGCTGTACTTTCACAGTCAAAGTTTTTTATTTTTTCTCTGAACAGTCTTGTGTTTATCTGATTAAATTTATAGTTACTTGAAGTAACCAAATTTAGAAATGACTTCAGTATCCAGTTAATATTTTTACTGCTTTATTTATCAGCTTTGCAGTTTTTGACAAACTCAGGCTTTAGTGCTTTGAAATTGAAACATATGCTGGCATTTGGGTTTTTTAAAAAGAACTACCCATCGTTATTCAGGATCAGCTTACAAGTAATTCTTCCCTTCTTCTTTCTTATTTGTCCCCTGGGCCATGTCAGCCTATGTTTGTCACCATGCACCACATGCATACTTTATACAAAAGCAAAGATGGATATGCACAATGAAACTCAGCAGAAAACAAAAATACCCTAACGTCTGGAAGAGTTGATATTGTGGGTTTTAGAGCAATTTACCCCTAATCCTAATGTAATAAATTTTAAAAAATTTTAGCCTGTTGGTCATGAGCATATATCAAAACAAACTGTCCTACTTTCAGCACTTTACA